ACTGTGTGTCTGGAAATCTGAAAAAAATTGAACGAAGCTGTTCGCCTGGAAAAACTGATCCTAATATGAAAATTATGGTATCCAATTTCCAGTTATACGTTTCTAAACAAGAAATGAGAATGTGAGAAGAGAACAAATGTATCATGTTGCAAAACACTTTGCAAAGCGATTGCTAAAAATATAAGCAGAATTTTCCTCCGATTCACTTCAAACTTTCATATCATTTTCCAGAATTCCACTGCCGCATTTCCATTCGATCATAAACAATTCGCGCAATTTTGCATCCAAAACTGAAACTTTGCGAATGATCTCATGTAATTTTTAGCACATATCATCTGTTACGTGATTGATTGATAATTTATATTCAAATCATGTTTTATCGTTGATATTTAAAGACGTTGTAAAGGGGTGTTCAACAGCATTCGCTCATTCATTCACATGAAATATTCAATGAATCGAAACGCACACAGGTGAATAATGGTGATTATGATGGTGGTGATTATGGGATGGGTGTGTTTCATTGTTATATTATATCATGAAATGTTTCATTGAGCAAATTGAAGGAAGATCTTTTGTGTTGACAACGAAATGGCGTTTAAGGTTTACAACGAGAGATTTATGATGACTCTATAAGAAATTTGTGTGATCATTTGTTTCCAGTAGATTAGAGCAGACCGGTTTATTTGATAGAATTTCGACGGATTATGAACTCTTTCATTCAGATTTCAACTCTGTAATATTGCTATTAATTTAGTAACAACAAGCGTGCGAATGTGCGAAATTGTTTTTGTAATTTTTATTAGAATTGGAACGATACATGATAGTTGATTCAATCCTGATCTATTTGATCCAATCAAACGTTAGAGATAATCAGATTTTATGTGGTGTTCAATAGGAACACTGGAATATCGGAATGTTAGAATGATGGAAGAGTAGTGTTGTGAAATGACAACTAGAATTATTAATGATTGACTGATTTGAGAGGAATGTCAGTAATGTGAATTCAATAATTTGACTAGCTCGATCATTCAGATGGATGGATATGCAGTCAGTCATTTGATCANTGGATTCGTTTCTGGTAGATTCATGCATTCTGGATTATATTTCACTTATGGGCGCAGTCTGATTCGTCTGTTTGCTTATTGATTCAATCTGCTCTCCATATTCGTTGAAGAATGGTTTGTGCACATGATGCTTAAATAGGTAATTCTATGAGCGCTATAAGTAAACATGGTTTTGGTGAGGGACTACATTGTGGACGATTACGGCGGAATTTCAATATTTGCTATCAAAATACCATCTTGAGGATAAGGGTCAGCGGCTTCCCAGGCTTCCTAAGTTCTCGGGATCTCCGAAGGTAGAAGGTAAAATCGGAAATCCTACCCTCTACCGAATGGAGAAGGGCAGGATCCACAGTACCCACCCAGGATGCGTCCGTAAATGCTTGGAAGCCCCGAGTCTCAGGATTCTCGGACTCAAGCCCAATCTGGATACACTTGCAACGCAAGATAACATCCACGGTCAAGGTGTTTCATTAACAATGCGATTCAAGATCCACTTCAATTCCACATTGTCACTAATGCATCGTGAATAAATGCGCTCTTCTTGTACTTTGCTAGTCAGTCCCTATCTTGTAGAAATAACCCTGTAATTGACTGTAATGGCCTGTACTCAGTAAAATTCTCTTGCATAACACTCACGAAATATTCAATTCGTTCATAAAAGGTACGATACAGGAGGGCGCAAATTCATTTCGAATCCATTATAGCCATACAATATTAATGCATTTGTCCGGTTTTTTCTCAACAAACCATCGAAATTAATTCGTTTTTTTTGCCATTTCATTGAAAGTCGAGAGATTATTCATTGAAAAAGATTAGGAAAAGTTTTTTTTTGCACTTCTTTCGTTTTCGTTTTCAAACATCTTTGTTGAGGATTTCCTTCTTCTTCAATTTCACACTCACGTTGATGCATCGTAAATTGTAGTTTTAACCTTCATTCATATAAGATACAACTCGATTGATATTGATATTGCGAGCACGGTCATTATTACTAATAGCTAGAATCCTTACAATTAGAATATTTAATATCGCTATGATTAATAATGATAATCAGTGATGTGCTAAGGGTCTTTCGTACTGAAGTGTCCATGTGACTGAATTTTAAACTCTACTCTTATGTTTCCGCGCTTGCTGAATATTCCCAATTATTGGAGCCTTCAATACAACTGAATGTCAAGTCTTCACTATTGAATGTTTTACAGAATGTGAAAAATCATCCAAAATTCTATACTATGTGATAGATAATCTTGCAGTCAATGATAGACTGCCTTGTAGTTACTGTGGCCGTATTATTATTGCTATTAATTAGCGCAAAGAAAAAGTTCTTCTATAAATTAGAGTTTATGCATCG